TTTAAACTTGTGTAATAGTATTTAAATGCATCAACAACATGGCACCTAAATATTTGATAGACAAAACAGCACGGAAAGCACCTCATTAAGTAAGTTTGCGTTCTGATGAGTCAAATTTCCTGGCGGTTCAGACGAGCCAGTTAAGAATAGGTTCTCGAAGTTTTGATATGAAAGCTCCTAGGATATGAAACAATCTCCCAAGCCATTTACAGGATCCTAGTTTAAATCTGTGACATTCAGAAGACTGTCAAAGTTTTATTTGTTTTCAACCTAGCATTGTTTTTGTTTTTGCATTTTGAGAGCGCTTTTGATAAATTTTACATTTTAATTGGCGCTCTGTAAGTGGTGAGTAATAATATACACAGCTAATTAAATTAAATTTTCTCAAAAATTACAAAAACTTTTAAACAAATTTTCTCAATAAACAAGACTAAAAAAATCATTGGTCTCAATAAAATAAACAAGTTTTGATGATTTTCCCGTTACCGCCCCTTTTGTCGCCACATGACAGCAATGACGACGGCGATCAAAGGAATTTCCAACCTCAGCGACATGATGGAGGTGATGACGATGAAGCAGTTTCTCCTGTCGTGTTACGATGGAAACAACCATGGTGCCGGAATCGGATGAAAGATATCCGACAACGGTATATTATTAAGATGTTTTTAGGTGTTTTTAGATAATTCACAAACACGCATTTCGGTCGATAGAGGCGTATGAAGAGACCTACTGTTGAGACCTACTGTTGAGACCTACTGTTACAACACATTTCACCGGAGACAAGCTGGCAACAGAACAACAGGCTGCAGAGACCGATTCACAACAGGCTGCAGAGACCGATTCACAACAGGCTGCAGAGACCGATTCACAACAGGCTGCAGAGACCGATTCACAACAGGCTGCAGAGACCGATTCACAACCGGCTGCAGGGAAAGACTGTGAGGGACACTCTGGGTGTTCGTTCACAAGTTCAACAGGTTGCTGCAACAGGTTTCAGGCACAGACAACAGAAGATATTACTGCAGTATGCATCGTCGACAGACTTGATTCAGTCTACGGAGAAAGTTCATCAGTTCGTCAATGTTGTTCGTCATTCCATCCCTCAGGCCGGTAGAAGGACCCCCACATTCAACTGGAATGAAGATTAATTAAATGATAACTATCAAAACAATACGGAAACATCTTTTTATTTCAAAAAAGTAAACATTGGTAAAATTTAAAAGTTATCAAAATAATAAGGTTTTGAATGAAATAATAATAAAATTAGAGTAAAAGGAATAGAACACTGCTCATGCTCATTGCGGAGTGGAGTGCAGAGCTGCAAGATATATTTAAGTTTATATCACAATTTGTTTCTGTCACAATAGATGTCTTATGATAACCTTATAAATGTTTAAACTGATTGATTGATTGATAGATAGATTGATTGGTTGATTGATAACAACAGTTTTTTTTATTATTACAACAGCAATATCATCATCAATCATGTATTATGTTTTAACTATTTATAGCTGCAGTTAGTAATGTAATTCGTTGGTCTCATTATTTCTATTGTTATTATAATCCATTAGAGGGAATTATATAAACCGAATAAAGTAAATAAACATAATGAGCGTGAATGAAGAAGTAGTCAAAGGATGAATCATCAAATAATAATTAATTATCGCGTCCTTCTCTATCGACCTACGTGTTTACCACTAATCAACTTAAATTATGCTTATCTTTTAAATTTGTCGATCCATTTAGCAATTGGTGTTAAATAAACCTAAAACAATTTTCAACTTTGCTATTGCTTGTTCGTTCCCCGTTTTTATTCAAAAGAACTGTCCAAAGAGGCAAAATCGAAATATATTTTTTTTAAACAAGTTTCGCGAAAGTTTTATTACAATATTCGTTTGGCTCCGTCTGTTCATCGTTCACCAAACGCAATTGGTCGTTAACATGTTCAAGAATTTGTAAGCCTTTTCGATAAAATGGGCTACTTTCGTAAATTGTCTCCAATTCATTAACTTCATTATCGTCATCATCGTAAACGTGTTCAATTAGATCGTAATGACTTACTTCATTGATTGTTGATTCATGAAACTCATCAAAATGACTATTTAAAGATGGAGTTTTTTTTAACGAACATGTAATATGAAAGAATGAAGTAATTAAACTTATCATGCGTCTATAACTTTTGGCTTGCAGTATTACGCTAAAGGCATTTATATAAAATTTAACAACCTCTTTTGTACTAAATTTTTTTTTGACAAATCGAACTATGTTTTTAAAAAAGTGCGCGCAGCAAAGCTTTATCATTATTTGATTTTTTGGGACACATTCGCTAATACACCATTTAAATGCCATTGCCAGGTTACCTCTCAAATCAACTCCAATCCAACCAGTTAAAACGGCATTTATCACAGCCATTGAGTGGTCTGTAACCACGTTCATAAAAATTGGCCAGGCGTTTACCTTTTTTATGACGTATTTTTTAAAATTTATCAAATGATAAGCAACTGAAGCTGTGTCATGGCGATCGCTTATAAAATCAAAAATTTGAGTGTAACCCGCATCAAGACCTACTACGGCGCTGTATAGATATATAGTTTGTTTGCTATGAAGACGACGAACCACAGACCCCGTTGAATCTAAATGTATTGTTGGTAAGTCTGTCTGGCCTAATCTCAAAATAACTTCAATTTGGTCGTCGGAAAAAAAAGTGGCATAAAATGGAACGGCTGAAACTGCTTGTATATAAATTTCATCCGTTTTTTGAAATTTTTGACGTTCTATTAGATCAATAACGTCATCTTTTGCCTTATCGCCTGCAGCCATAGCCTCACATCTCACATCTCACCTGCTGCAAAAAACATTGTATATTAATTATATTACCTTGCAGTATCTTTAAGATATCATCTCTGTTGCTCCGGACGATTGTTTGGTTATCATGCAACCACTTGGCTAAGGCATTGTTGTTACAAGTTACTATGCTCTGTAAGTTCTGCAAACATTCATCGTTGCCTTGGGGACCATTTTCAGTTAAACCTTAAAAGCATCTATTCCTCCGCAATAAGTCATGCAATCTGTGAATTTCAAATTTTTAATGTTATCACTAGTTTTGTTACATTTTCAATAGTGCATTTACCGCTTTCGATTACTGAAGTTATTTTTCTGCTTTAGGCTCTTGCAAGCTTGGCCAAACCAACCCTGTTCATCCAAACTAGACTGTATTTTAATAAAAATGTTGATTCGTTTAATTTAATGAATAATATGCATTGCACAGTAATTGAACTATAGTTCTTTAACGCGTGAACATTTAAATTTACAAAAAAAACAAAATATGTTTTTTATTTTAGCTAAAAATTAACAAATACTAATGCAATCGCAGCAAAAAGTGAAATTTAAACATTTTAAATTGCAAAAAAGATCGTGATGACTAAAATTGTGAAAAGTACAGATCAATATCGCTAACTTATAAAGTTATCGTTTAACATTTATTTTTGTGGCTTCGTATAATTTTCAGTTATAAAAAAGTAAACCTTTAGTAACTTTTCTCTGTCTATGCCACTTTTCTGGACGTAACTCACGAATTTTTCAATAAAAGAATCCATATCGCAAAACTCGCAATTGTAAGAAAACTAGTTTCAAAAATTGTTTTGAAAAAGACGCCTAGCAAACAGGCCCTGAAAAAGAACTCTGTATAAAAGCGAACTTCTACGCAACAAATTTTAAATTCACTTATTGATAACTTTTGTGTTACCAAATTATGAAATTATGAATTTAGATCTATTTTTGTTCTTATTATATATAATTGTTTTTCCTTGCCGTAATTATGTGTATTAAACAATTTGTGTGTATAACAATTATTGACATTATATACGTTTCAGTTCAATTATACACGTTTAATTACATTTCTATTTCCATGTTAGCCATCTGCCTCTCCTATTCACAAACTGACTAACGCATACAAACAAACAAACAAACACACACAAGCTGGTTACAGGTAAAACATAAAGGCCAACCTGTGTTGGCAAGTACGTGACGTGAGTCGAGTAGACGTGGTTGAGAATCCGCCGACCTGCTACTGCAAGTACGACGGCCAGTATTTTTAACACTACCTCTCACAGGCACCACGGCCATAGGTGCATCATTGCGAGCACCTAAATATTTCAGGCTAGACGCGTTTTGTCCTACTATGGAACTCATCATTTTTTATCTCAGAAGATATCATTTTTTATCCCAGAAGATAATAATGTAAACTGAGGTAGTTGCATAGAAGAATTAAATTTCTTCATTGTGAATAGTGTTGCGGTTGCGTTTGATAATGAGAACACCGAACCAGAAGAGCAGTGAGCGGGAGAAGAAAAGAATAGTATTCGTTTGGATAGGCTGGACACGTGTTTCGTCCCTACCGGGGACTCATCAGCAGCCCGAATACCTATCAGAATAATTATCGCAGTTTCTTATAAAGCCCACACAAATCAACTCCTTATTTCGTGGTGTTTTATTTATTAGTCTTTTTAATCGCTAGGATTTTCAATCCGACAATACTTTCCCACCCGATCGTCGCAGCGTGTGTTGGCGAACGTGATGGATGAGGTTGCATTGCCGGGATCAATCCTGTGTTGTTATATCGAAGAAAGATCTGCGTTGGAGTGGAAACTCTCGTTGCTTGTTTTTCTTCGATCACGTCGGGGTCACCAATTTGTTGCGGTTGCGTTTGATAATGAGAACACCGAACCAGAAGAGCAGTGAGCGGGAGAAGAAAAGAATAGTATTCGTTTGGATAGGCTGGACACGTGTTTCGTCCCTACCGGGGACTCATCAGCAGCCCGAATACCTATCAGAATAATTATCGCAGTTTCTTATAAAGCCCGCACAAATCAACTCCTTATTTCGTGGTGTTTTATTTATTAGTCTTTTTAATCGTTAGGATTTTCAATCCGACAATAGATCTTATAAATATAGAAGCAAGCATTTCAAATTTCTAAAACAAATTTTTATTTATTTTTTAGCAAAATTAAAAAAATCTTGGCTTTTAATTTATTTAAACTTGGAAACACTTTTCTTTTCCTCAACCATTGATCTCAATGTGAAATTACGTGAAATAACAAATCATCAATATATGCTGACGGCTGTAGACATGACAGATTAAAGTTTTGTTGGTTAGCTCTTTAAGTCTTCACTGCAAGTTATGACGATGGAGCGTGTGTGTGGAGAATTAGTTCTGATTAAAGTAGCAAATCCAAACCTATCTTACTAACCATCCAAACTTATTCACTACACATTTTTTCAAGTCGATAATTTGATATAAAAACATTGCACACTTATTAGATCGTTTTTGAGTGAAAATTTTTGACAATTTTTTTTGTCATCTAAGAAATTATTTTGTTTTTCATTAATAAAAAATATTTATATAGAAGGCTTCAGTTGGCCTCTCTTGAAATCCCTCTTGACCACTCTAAGGAAGGCCGGCTTCACAGGTAGGAAGCCCCTGGCATTTAGGAAGGGATGAGAATTGACTACATTACTCGGACTGCTGATGAGTACCATAGAGATACGAAATGAGTCTCGTCTAAACTAGAACGATTTAGGTGTTCATAATAATGCTTCTCTGGTAGTGGTGAGGGATAGCATACAACAATAGGTACTTATTTATTTATTTATTTTAATCTTTTTTTATCTTTATTTAATATATTTGTTGCTTTGCATAAAATCAGTAAACATTACCAACACTAAATATATACAAAATAGTAAGCTAAACAAATGTAGATATATGAGGAGAGTATGATGTCACAATGACACGATGCATGCAAAATAAAGAGAGAGACAAAGAGAGCAAAAGAGAGAAAGAGAGAGAGAGAGAAAGAAATGTGCGTAGATAAAAGCGAAGCCTCTATGAATTTTGAAGCCTTATCTGCGCTGGTCGGTGCTGGGGCCACTGTTTATTATTTTCATCAATGGTATTGGTAGTGGGATTTGTTCCAAGATAGCCAAATTTGCGGATGACCCAAAGCTCTGTGCAGTGGTGGATAAAAATGAGGATATAGAAAGACTGCGAACTGATCTAAAAAAAACTTTACCAATGGGTGGAGGACTGGCAGATGAAATTTAACATAGATAAATGCTCCGTCATTCACATGGAGACAAAAAACATACAAAATATATTAGAATTTAGGGATAGACCTCTAAAGGTTTCACCGGAAGAAAGGGACCTTGGAATAATTGTAGACAAAAGTGGGTAACCTACCAGGCAATGCATAGAAGCAGCAAAAAGAGCAAACAATACGCTTGGCACGATAAAAAGGACGATTTTTAACAAAGATAAATCAATAATGTTGAATCTATATATGATAAAACGTCAGTGCGAACTAAATTGGAATGCTGCATACAGGCATAGAGACCTCACTGGCAAAAAGACAAAAATTTTTGGAAAAAGTTCAAAGACGGATGATTAACAATTGTGAAAGACTTTCATATGAGAAAAGATTGAAGAGATGTGGACCGACAACTTTGGATAAACGTAGGACTAGAGGATATATTATTCAGGCGTTCAAAATCATAACGTGTAAATATGAGATAGGTTCATCCCTATTCTTCCAATTTACAGAATGTCGCAATACAAGAGGGCACCAGTACTAGCTTTTCAAGGAACAATAATAGGAAGATTTTTCAGCTCGAGAGTTATTGAACATTGAAATAAACCGGACAAAAAAACTGTAACAGCTTGTACAACGCAGGAGTTCAAAGTCAGACTCAGAAGATTAGGATTTTAATTCCACGTTATTAGTCAAAATCGTTCCAGTGGTTAACACACAGAGATATCTACTGAACCACTATAATCCTTGTTATGTTATGTTATGGTCAACTACCTTTACATTTAACTTAATATCCATCCAATGAATTGTTCTTCATCAGATGGAATGCTGCCAAAAAAAAGTTTCATTAAGACTAAAAAGTTGTGTACCATTTGAAACATTGAATTGCTGGAGGAAGTCTGCATTAGATCAACCGTTGGCCGAAGACACCGAGTTTGTGTTTTAATTGACCAGTTACATTTGATAGTTGTAAAATTAACTTTCATTAATTTTTAATCTTCCTAGTGTATAGAAACTAATCACTGATCACAAGAAGGCTAAAACAAAAATAAATGATGATTCATTATTTTTTTGAAATATCGTAATTACAAACATTTATAATTTGTAATCTAAGTCCTATCGATAATTATTTATCCATTTTAATTAAATAGAAATCAAAAATTTGTGGCAAACGTTGGCAACAAAAACGATTAATTGATGATGTTCAGAGATTTCGAGTTTAATGATGCCTCATCCACCCATCGTCATCTTCATAAATTTACTCATCAGATTCTTAACGCACATAAACGACATATAACAACTATTCATCGTGCATAAACTTTAATTACACATTCGAGCAGATAGCAGAGAGAAAGAGAGAGGGGAGAGAGAGAAAAGAGAGAGAGAGAGGAGAGAGAAAGAGATAAGTATCGGGCCACAATTAAATGTTCATACACATCCTGCTTTTCAAAATTGAATAAATAAATCACTTGCTCGTCCACACTCATCATTCAGTCGTTCAAAGTTTTTCAACACATCAACGAATTTAAAATTATATTTTGCAAAGATGAATTGTGCTATGTGTGTCTTTTTATTGAGCTGCATTCAAACGATGAACTGCAACTTTTTTGAGGTAGAGAATGTTTCCATATTTCAACCCGAGACGGACCGGCTGCAGAAGATTTACTTCGGATACTCCATGTCCGTCCAACCGTTCACCAGCTTCGGGAATAGGTAAATTTTCTTTTTTTCTTTTATCGTTCCACTGCTGTCTCAACACATTCAGATCCATTACACTTAATAAACCAATAAACAAATGAATTGTTGAGAGATTTTGTTTAAATAATTTATAAGGTACCCATTAAGTAACAATAACAACAACAACAACAACAATAATAAAATAATGCAAACTCTTTTGTTGGCCGAAAAATTCAAAATAAAATCAAAATAGTTCCAGATAATGAATTATACCTATAAAAAATAAAACGACTGAATTTTGATTTTCGTTTTAATAATAGTAATAATATCCGAATAGGAGTGATAAATTGGGAAAGTTTGAAGGTAGGACTGCAACAACGGAATCAAAATGTGAATGACTGCAATTTGATTTTCGTTTCATTTTTATAATCTAAAAATGACTTCTACAATGTTCAGTAGGCATGCCATAGGTGTAAAAAAGTTTTGTTTTTTTTGTGCATCTGTTGGACGTGCACATTCGCAATGAATTCAACATGATGCTTGAACTGAAGGAGGTTGTCTCATTGCTTGGCTGGATCGAACAAAAATTTGAAAAATTTTATTCGCTGTGAATAAATTATGGAGGCAAAATATAAAGCAAAGAAAAATAAAATTAAAAAATAAATAAACTGAATTAAAAATTTTATATAGAAAAGAGTTAAATAATAATAAGAAGAAACAGATTTCATCAGATCAATGTACGAGGTTACTCTGTGAAAGAATGAAGATAAAATAAACGAGTTAGGGAATATTTGCTTGCCTGTTAAAATATTTGTAAGTTGATTGCCATAGCAATTATTAATTATAATACAGAGTGCGCTCTCATGGCGTAGTTTACGCTCGCTTTTCAGTTATCATCTCATCATAATTATTATATTTTGGGTAATAATTATTATTGGCGTGTTTGATCTTAATAAAAATTATATTCATCGTATTTTTAACACCCGACCACAATTAACATCTAACCAATCACAGTGGCGGAACTAGGGGAGGGGCACGGGAGGCGTGACCTCCGAATATAAAAACTATAATTAAATGTCAAAAACATATTAAAAAAATAAATATAATATAAATATTGTAACATATTAAAAATATTGGGCACTATAATATCATGAAAACTCCTAAAATGATCCTCCTTGCTGGAGAATAATTGAACCTGAGATTAATACAGATCTAGAAAGATTTAAAAAATTAGAAGAACAATATATTATACAATTTATAGTTAAGGTATAAATAGCACCATAAAGAGTGAGGAGAGAGATAAGTCTCCTCTCACTCTTTATGAATCTACAACAGCAGCTGCGATAAATAATTGGAGACACTGAAAGAAGCATTCATGTGTTAGAAAACCCATCAATTTTTACTGCTGAACTCCAAGCTATCAATATAGCCTTAGATCACATAAAATATGAAACTAATGAAATTGTCATAATTATAACAGATTCATTGTCTAGCGTTAAAGCTTTGGAACAATATAAAAGTAAAAATAGTCTAGTTTATATAATCAAACTTAAAGTTCATAATATTGCTTAAAACAAATGCCAAATTAAAAAAATGTGAGTGCCAAGCCACATAGGCATTGCAGGCAATGAAAAAGCAGACAATCTGTCATTATTAATTCACCAAAACCAATTGTAGAATCTGAAATGTTTTTTTCAGAAGTCAAAACATTAATAGATAAATACATTTGTACATTATGGCAGGCTGAGTGGGACGAATCTAAAACACAGCTGAGGCAAAGAAGATTCCAAAATTTTAACACCCGATTCACAGCGTCTTAAATTAATTGAATAATGATTGGACATACAAGTTTAACTCGTGAACATTTATTAAGTGGATCCGCACCACCTATATGTCAATATTGTAAACACAGATTAACAATACAACATATGTAAAAACCCAAGGAATTCAATTCATAAAAACGTTTCGGAAAATTTCAGAACTTATGAAAACATAATTAAACTGATAGAATTTTTGAGGGATGTTAAAATTTACGATGCGATTTAAAATTATGAAATGAGCTTGAAATGAATAATGCGACATGAAAGTTACACTTGTTAAATAAGGTTTTGGAGTCACACCATTGTGGTGAGATAGTCCGGACGGGCTTCGTCGTCGCATTAATGCAGGAAGTCAGAAGTATATGACTTGAATAAATATTACACTTTATAGATCGACATTGTTCAGGCTGGTGGGAGTGTGAGGGATGGTAATACGGCATTGTTTGGTTTCATTGACGGACGGTTTGCGCCCTGCGTGTCTAACATGAGAAATGATTAGTCAAACCCTATAAGCGGGTCTATCGTCTACTGTGGGTGAACCCAACGGTGGGACTGGGCCGCCAAAGAGGAAATAAGTTAAATTAGCAACAGAGGCGTACCGGGCGTCTGACGTGGGTGAACCCTTTGATGGAGGCTTGGTCGCCAAAGAGGAAATAAATAGAGGTCATAATAAAAAGGACCCTCGGAAGCTCGTAGAGCGTCTATCGAGGGCGAACTTCATGGTGGAGGCTCGGTAGCTAAAGGGGAAATAAATAGTAGTCACAATAAAGAGAACCCCATAGTTCCCATAGTAAAAAAAAGCAGCAATAATTACGGTTCCAATATATGCGCAGGGCGGGAGTCGGATGATGGGCTTGGGCGGTCCTTTTGCACTGCGTTGGTATGGATGGTGTCGGTCTGTGGGCCTTTTAAACGATACGATTAGCCAGAAATAAAAATAAAATACATCGACAGGTTAAAATATGTAATATATTAAAGAAACACTGTTTTTTTTAGTTAATTACAATACATTAAACAGAAGGACGAAAAATAAAATCAAAGTGTGTTTTATTACCATTCATCACTGTCAGAAATTACTCTCATTGTTTTTTTCGGAATCGAAGGTTCGAATTCACTTTCATCACTCCAAGTTATTTGTGCCGATTCGATGTTTGGAGCAGAAATATTTACATTATGAGAGATGGTAATAAAATCGGTTATTAACAATTGATGTGATTTTGTGAGATCTTTGTAAACTTCTTCGTATTGAGCCAAGCAAGCATGTTTTCATTCACAGTAGCATTTAGTAGAGTGCGATAAAAACAAAAAAAACTTATTTGGAAAACCGTGTAAAAGCGAAAACCTGTAAAACAAGTGCCGTGTAAATCGGTGGATAGGTGTATTTATAAAACTTCCATACAGTATACGATTGGGGATAGTACGTTAGTACGTGTCGTAATGTAATTTAAAATGAATGACTTGTGCAATTTTTGACCTGATTTATGCAAATATATAATAGCTGATATGGAATGGGATAAAATTAAATGTGGGTAGGTTCAATGATGAAGAATTAACGTGCAACTATGAACACGGCATAATAAAAAAAGCTACATGGTGATTATTAATAGCGTAGAAATAAATTACAATACATATGTGATTGTACGTGTCGTAATGTAATTTAAAATTAATGTGATATGTGATGTGCAGAGATGTAGTCGAAAGTTGAAAAAAACATTACACATTAGGGATGTAAATATTAAGACCTAGGCATGGCAATTCAAATGACCCATGAAAATGTCATTCAAATAATAATTAATGTCTGCCCATCTACATGTAGCATGCTACCTGTTTAACTTGAAAAGCTGCAAATCGCAGTGGAGAGTTGATCACGTGATCAGCAATTTGTCTGTTGGTTTTATGAGTCAGCTGGTTGTGGGTGACGATGTTTGGGGTCGCGAGAAGCACCAGCTTGGAGTTATTGCTGGCAGACTGGCTGGCTGGCTGGCTGAGGCATTCTTTCATTTGTTTGTGACATTGATCTTTTCGGTCATGCAGTTTCGGGACCAGTAAAATAATAATTATACTAAAAATAATAATTGAATCACATCGTTTGATAACAACAACAACAACAACAGCATTCGGAGCTAATAGCATCACAATTCCTACTCCTATGCCATAACCCTAGCCACCCGTGCCATCATATCATCACGCAACAACACCCTCACCGCAACATAAAGACCACCCTCCTCTCCAAATGGGCTTCAACAACTCATGCGGTTCTACCAACAACCATAAATAGCGATTCTCTGAAGTCCGCTCTAAAAACACTACACAATAACACCATCAAAGCCGCCCCAGAGACGTATCAGTCGCCGTTGTTGTTGCTTGACGAATGGCCTCCACCTACACCAAAAATAGATCCAACAGAAGAATCATTTCCCAGGGCAATCAGACGGACCCTAGCCCAACTCCGTTCTGGCCATAGTATTTTTCTAAACAGCTACAAAAACAGATTCAACAGTGGGCACCTCAACATCTGTCCTTTCTGCAACAATCATACAGATGATGTACCGCATCTGTTTAGCTGTCCACAAAACACCACAAAACTACAACCAATAGACCTCTGGAGAAACCCAATTGCAGTGGCGGTTTGGCTCCGGCCTCGATTAGAGCCCTAGGGGTCCCCCAGAATGGGGCAACAACAACAACAACAATGGCAATAATATTAATAACAATAATTATAGTTTTAATAACAATAATTTTAGTGTTGATAACAAAATTTTATTATCAAAATGTTATTTGAATTGCTTAACCACTTGCAGATTGTTGGTGGGTGCCCCGAAAGCCACAATGACAAAGTTCAAGGACGAACCGTCTTCAGGGGCTGTGTACCTCTGCAACCTGGATAACGGTCGTGCACAGTTAAATTTATGTAGGCAACTGCAATTTGAAGAAAAAGGCAAAAGTACGTCTCGAACTTTTATTGAATATTGTTATTTTAATCTGCTTTTAATAATTTGCAAATAATAGTTTGAAGTAGATGAATTCAATTTCAAAAACTATGGTCTAAAGCTTGGCAATTAAGAAAGTAGATAGATAACTGTTGATTCAATAATTTTCTGCATTCCCTCCTAACAGCTCAGCTAACGGCAGGAATGTTTTGATAAAATTTCTTTAAATGCACGTTTTCATTTGCCTGCAGACCGCTCAGTTCAGGCCAACTTTCAAGAAAATTCTGTTTAACAGAGATCAGGCTTGTCGGAAAACTGCGATAACTATTCTGATAGGTATTCGGGCTGCTGATGAGTCCCCGGTAGGGACGAAACACGTGTCCAGCCTATCCAAACGAATACTGTTCTTTTCTTCTACCGCTCACTGCTCTACCTGGTTCGATGTTCTCTCAAACATAAGCGCAACCGCAACAGGCTCGTCGTCTGCGCAGAACGCCTAAATGACAGACGCACACACCCTCCGGTCACATAACTGCTCTTGGCCTATGAGTTAAATAAATGAAACTGAAATTGAAACCAGACGGGTGCAGGCAAGTCTAAACGTGAATAGGATTTTGTGCAGACCCCTTAGAATTCGACAATTAATTAGTTAACCAATCAATCAATTTGTTAATATTGTATAACACAAATTAAAAAAAATTAATGAAACAAATAATAAACTCAGTTAAGTTGGATCAAAAATGATATAAGAATTTGAATTAATTCTTCCGTGACTTATTTGTCTTCTTTTTCATGTTTGTTGTCAGGCACAAACTTTCGGGACTATTACTTTAAATTGGTATAACATTTCTCCCCGTCCTCTACAAACATATTTGCCTACTTAAGGAACGATTTCAACACAAGACCTTACATGCCGTTCCCTGTTTTATATTTTAAAATGATTTTTAATATTAATCAACCAGCTATTCAGAAGGAAATGATGTTCGGTGCTTCCATGTCGAGGTCAGGAGACAACCAGTTTGTGGTGAGATTTATTAGTTAGCAAATGTAGACGCATTTGTTTGGTGCAATGAATTCAGTGCGTCTTTCTTTTTTGTCTGATGTTGTCGTCTGGCCTGCTGAAAACAATCTGCGCAAAACTAAATAACCAGCATGTACTTCGTGGTGCTTGTATGTGCAACACCTGCATATACAATCTATGCACGCCTATGATGCATTTACTGTAGTTTGTATCATGTAGTGTGTACACTGATATGTATACTGTGAGTTTGTATATTGGAGTTTGTACACTGTGGTTGGTATATTGTGATTTGTATACTGTGGTTTGTATACTGTGGATTGTACACTGTGGTTTGTACACTGCGGTTTGTATACTGTGATTTGTATACTGTGGTATGTAAACCGTGGTGTGCATACAAAGTTTATGGCACAAAATATAAAATTTCAATCATGTATACATGCGGACATTTATTTGTCAAATTTCTATGATAATATTTGAGAAGTCAGTGTAATTATTTGAAGTCAAACTCGCTTCGCCGTATCTAAAAGCTTAAGATTGCAATGATGATGCTGATGATGAAGAGGATGAGGAGGAGGATGGTGATGATGATGATGATAATGATGACGTAATATTCATTTGACTGCAGACTTGTGGGCCGACATGGAAGGTACAGCGGAAAGCAGAAGATGAATTCTGGCTGATGGAAGGCAAGTGCTACCGGGCCAACCTGCACACCTTGGAACTGCAAGACATGAATATCGCTGAAACAATAGGATTTGATGCGAAAAACGCCGATTATATTTATGCATCAGCATTTGGATTCTCACTGCATCGACATTCGGTCATAAGTAACTTCTTGTTAGCATGTTATTAGCCTGCGGTTTATAAAAAGTTTATAATTTCAAATAAATTGCAATGGCTGGTTACAAATATAATGCGTTCGATATAACGTTTAGTTTATTAAAATTCAAAATAAACTTATTTTTCGAATTCATGCTGCAAATAAGGCCATATTTCGATTCCGAACGAATCATCATCAGTGCTTTCTGCTGTTTATATAGGGAAATATTGACATATATATGTGTATGTGGGTGTGTGCGTGCATGTGTGTATGTGCATTTTTTTATATATTTGTATATGACACAAATATATTTGTATATCTTAATTGTAATATATCATCATGCGGTAAACGTTTACACGTAGCCTAGTTTTAATTATTAAATTTTACTTTTAAATTATTCAGGGCAAAACGTTGATTGGGGCACCTGGGCTAAATAATTTTCGCGGTTAGTTAACGAATGATTTAAAATTTGTTGAGTATACTTGCAAGGGTGCACGTTATTATGTTAAGGAATGACGTGTTGTTTTTGCATTGTAATGAAATTCAAGTAGAACGAGTAAGGATGTTGATGTTTGAGTAAAAGT